AAATTCTCAGAATGGAGAGGGGTAACAAGTGGTGTTCCCCATGGGTCAGTCCTCGGACCAATCCTATTCAACTTATTCATAAATGATCTGGAGAAAGGGGTAAAAAGTGAGGTGGCAAAGTTTGTAGATGATACTAAACTGCTCAAGATAGTTAAGACCAAAGCAGACTGTGAAGAACTTCAAAAAGATCTCACAAAACTAAGTGATTGGGCAACAAAATGGCAAATGAAATTTAATGTGGATAAATGTAAAGTAATGCACATTGGAAAAAATAACCCCAACTATACATACAATATGATGGGGGCTAATTTAGCTACAACAAATCAGGAAAAAGATCTTGGAGTCATCGTGGATAGTTCTCTGAAGATGTCTACCCAGTGTGCAGAGGCGGTCAAAAAAGCAAACAGGATGTTAGGAATCATTAAAAAGGGGATAGAGAATAAGACGGAGAATATATTATTGCCCTTATATAAATCGATGGTACGCCCACATCTTGAATACTGTGTACAGATGTGGTCTCCTCATCTCAAAAAAGATATACTGGCACTAGAAAAGGTTCAGAGAAGGGCAACTAAAATGATTAGGGGTTTGGAGAGGGTCCCATATGAGGAGAGATTAAAGAGGCTAGGACTTTTCAGCTTGGAAAAGAGGAGACTAAGGGGGATATGATAGAGGTATATAAAATTATGAGTGATGTGGAGAAAGTAGATAAGGAAAAGTTATTTACTTATTCCCATAATACAAGAACTAGGGGTCACCAAATGAAATTAATAGGCAGCAGGTTTAAAACAAATAAAAGGAAGCTTTTCTTCACACAGCGCACAGTCAACTTGTGGAACTCCTTGCCTGAGGAGGTTGTGAAGGCTAGGACTATAACAGCGTTTAAAAGAGAACTGGATAAATTCATGGAGGTTAAGGCCATTAATGGCTATTAGCCAGGATGGGTAAGGAATGGTGTCCCTTGACTCTGTTTGTCAGAGGGTGGAGATGGATGGCAGGAGAAAGATCACTTGATCATTGCCTGTTAGGTTCACTCCCTCTGGGGCACCTGGCATTGGCCACTGTCGGTAGACAGGATAACTGGGCTAGATGGACCTTTGGTCTGACCCAGTACGGCCGTTCTTATGTTCTCTTCCACAGAACCTTCTTTTTTCATGCTTCAGTAACCCGCCTGCCCCATAATCAGTAGACACCCAGCTGCTTGGCACAGAACATTTAATAGCAGGCGGATTTTTTAGCTCCAGATCTAAAGCCCATTGAGGTGAATGGAAAGACTCCAGTGAGTTTTGGATCAGCCCCATAAGGAGATCTGAGATTACAAAGCCTTAATCACTGTAGCAAAGTAAAGCCTGACCAGCATGCTGCTCTGTTCAGCTGCTGCTGCGTTGGTGCTAGTTTGTTCTGGTAGTGCTATTCACACACAATGGAGCCCCAGACGTGTTCTCAGCACAACTAAACGCCAGCTGGGGAATGAATGAAGCCTACAGTGTGAGGCAGCAGCAGTCATTAGCTGTGTGTGTTTCTTTGCTCATTTAGGCAGTAAGCTAATTGAAGCTGGAAGTGTCTCTTCTATGTGTTTGTACAGTGCCTGGCACAATGAGGCCCTGACCCAGGCTGAGGCTCTAGAGTCTCCTGCAGTAATAATATTTACAAATAAGCAAGGGGGTCTTGGGTGTGCGTACAAACTAGTGAAATTCTAATACTTTGCGCAGCTAATCCCCATTATTAAAGGCCTTTATTTTACCTTCCATTTTTCTTCACAGTTCCTTTCCTTGGGTTTGCATTCTTTCAAATCTTTGTCTTGTTCTTGCTTCCTCTTGCGTCACCAGCTCTTCTTTCCTCTCGCTCAACCGTGCGTATTGGCTGGCAAGGCCAACTCTTTCTTTACACGCCTTTCCGGGTCACCCTTGTTGAGACAAGAGACTCTCTCTCCTCATGGCTTCATAAAATCTGACAAACACCGTCGTCATTTATATCTGAAACCACGGCACCTGAACACCAGCTGCCTGACTGCCTGTGCACGCTAACCTGGTGCTAAATATTGCTACAAGCAGCCATTGCCTAGGTTACAAATGCACACCATTCTACAGCAAAAACTCCTTCGTGAGCACTTCATGGTTGCCTGTCCCAGGGATCGGTTCCAGGCTGAGCATGTGTCTTAGATTGAAGAAATGCACTCTTTCAGCTCTGCTCCATTGAGCCAACTACAGCCCAGTGTCTGAAACACTTTAAAAGACACTGCACAGCAAACTTCAGGCTATTTTGCTTTACCGTACCCTTGGCCATTGTGCCCCTGTCCCTTCCAGGTCCCACAAGGCCCGTCCTCGTTCCTACACATGACGTGACACGACGAGACCCGAGCAGCTCGGCAATTCAGTATGACTTTATTGAGAAAGGGAAGGTTAGAAAAGCAACAGCATTTTGGTGCCTGCCTGAGGTGCTGTACGCGGAGCAGAGGAGGCACTTGGGTGGGAATGTAAGAGAATGGCCCCTTTTCCGCATGGTCTGCTCGCTAACCAAAGCCATCCGTCGCTGTAGTGGAGCGTGAACGCCATCAGAACAGCCACCTTTCCCTCAACAAAGGCAATGGAAGGGAATCAGGGTCGCCCCCTATTTCTGCAGCACGCACACCCATTGTTAGTTCGTTCCATCGTTAGTTCATTGGGAATGTAACTGAGAATCTAGTAAAGCTATAGGCAGGTGTGAGGGCCAGCTATTCCCTTTGTAGCCCAACCATCTCTCATTATCCACAGCTGCCTTGGGGAGAGTCCTTCTCCCAGAGCCTCTCCTGGGACAGTGTCCACGGGAGGGGATGAGCCGGCTTCCTGCACTGGCTCCCCATGCGCAGCACTGCTGGGGGGAGAAGAAAACTGCAAGTGTGGAAACAGGAACTTGCACACCCAGAGTGAAACCAAACAACAACGACACAGGTCCCCTATTGTACTTTACATCCAGAAAGCCTGTACAGACAGTAACTAGCTAACCCACCCCCCAGACAGACAGTAACTAGCTAACCCCCCCCCCGCCCCAGACAGACAGACAGTAACTAGCTAAACTGTCCAGACAGACAGCTGGTCAATAACTTGCTATCCCCGCAGACAGACGGTCAGTAACTAGCTAACCCGCCCAGCCAGTACCTAGCAATCGCCCAGCAGTGCTGGCTCATCCCCTCCCGTGACCAATGCCCCAAGAGGGGGCTCTGGGAGAAGGACTCTCACAAGGCTCTGCTCGTGGAGCTCCTCCCATTGCCCATTGGGGCAGGACTTTCTCCTTTACAGGCCCCACCCTCAGACTCAGCAGCTCCCCAGGGAGTGCAGGTGTCGCTGTGCCACTGCATTGGGTCTGGCCCCTTTCCTGGTAGCATCCCCTGGCTGCAGTCGCCCCGGGGCCCTGAGAGGCTTGGGCAGGAGGTGGGGAGCAGTGCTGAGAGCTGCTGCAGGAGGCAGGCAGGGCTCTGCCCCCCTCCCCTTAGGAGCCGGAGGAGTCTTGGGCTGGGGAAGGGGCTGCCTCCCCCTGTGTGTGCGTGTGCACGTGCGCGCGCGCACACACACACACACACACACGGGGAGAGCTGGCAGCACTGTATCTATCACGCACACAGATACACACACACGCAGAGACACACTCACACATACACGCATGCCCACACACAGAGATACACAAACACACATGGGAGAGCTGGCAGCACTGTAACTATCACGCACACATACACACAGATACACACACACACAGACACATACACGCACACACACACACAGATACACACGGGAGAGCGGCAGCACTGTAACTATCACACACACATGCAGACACACACACACACGGAAGAGCTGGCAGCACTGATTGTCACACAATTTTTTTTTTTCAAAAATCCAAAACTAGCCCAAACCCATCCTTGCACTCCTTAAACCAAAACCCTCCTGATTTTGGGGCTAATCTCATGATTGGTGGGGTCTGACTCACGACTGGGGTGGGCGGTACTGGGGAGGGCTTGGGCAAACAGCTCGTTTTTCTCCTTTCATCAGGGAAGGTTGCCCAGGACCAGAAGGGGACAGGTGGGGTGAGTCGACCCCATTGAACGGTGACCCAGGTAGGAAGGCCCAGGGCTGAGCGTGTGTCTCTGTGGCAAGACCGAAACTGAGGGTGACCCACTGATCTCCCACTTCTGGGGTGTTCTCCCTGGCTGAAGGAACCAACATGCGCTGGTTTGGCTTGTGCGCCCATCTAGCTACCTGACCATGGATGCTCCCAGCGCAGGGACCCAGATCAGGGCCTTCCACACAGAGCTGCCAGGCTCTTCTATAGACCCCAACATGTTCGTGTGCAGAGCCCAACCAGTACATAGCACGAGCAGGCAGATCCCCGACCTGCCCCCCCCACGCCGTTCTCGCCCGTATGGGGCAAGGAGGGGCCGGTGCTGCAATGGTGGCTGACCCCTCTATCAGTGCGGAGGGCTCCCTCTAGCAGGGAACTTGGGGTGGGGCAGGGGAAATGCAGCCTGAGGCAGTTATTGGTGTCTTAGGCTCCAAGGCCACACTGCTGTGTCAGTTGCAGGCACAGGCCCTGTGTGTTGGTCTCATGCTGATGGTGCTGAGCAGATGCTGACTGCTCAGCGGCACAACTTAGGATCCCTGCACTCCCTCCAGACGCTGGAGACCTTTGATCTCTGGCTGCACATTCTACTCTCCAGAACACCACCCTCTGGAATGACAGAGGCAGGCAGGACTAGGGGGTTCTGCTCTCTAACCTTCCGCAGCGGCCAGGACATATCCTGTTGTGTCTTAGTTAGCAATGAGTAACCCGCCACGGCATGAGATGTGACGTAAACAGGGGTACTGCTGTTCCCCTACAAGCTTGTGGCCACGGTTCAGTTAATAACAAAATACATTTTCATATTTCTATCAAATGTCACATAAAAACCTCATAGAAAAGCTTGTGCAAGCAGGTCAGAAGCAGATTGCTTCCCTCGAGGCGTTTCTTGACACGGTGCTCGGTGCTTGGCATTACAGGACCGTGCTGATGGTCTCTTTGGGGACCTGGGTGCTAGGCAGTGATTTAAGGTACTCCAGGTGCTTCCTGGCATCTTCCTGGTTGTGTCGAACGTAATACACCACATAGGTGATGACCATGGTGAACCAGCCAAACATGGTGATGAACATGGCGACATCTGTGGTCTTTTGATGGATGTTACAGAAATTGACGCCAGAGTCCAGGACCTGGATCAAAGGTTTCCCGACATATTCTTCGCGCACAGAGGTTTGGCAGGTGATCTCGTTCACTGACTCGGGATCTAAATTCACTTCCGAGAGCACCTCCTGCAAAGCGCACTCGCAGTGCCACGGGTTATTGGACAGGCGGATCTTAGCATTCAGTTTGACTAAGGCTTCCTTGGGAATACTCTGAATAAGGTTATTGGAAAGATCCAGTGTCCGCAGCCCGTCTGCCACCCCTCTGAAAGCTGCCATGTCTATCTTCTCAATGGCGTTTCTGGAGAGGTCCAGCTCTTCCAAGTGGTTCAGATGTTTGAATGCGTTGTTGGGGATCTGGGTGATTTTATTTGCATCGAGTTTCACAAACACAGCATCTTTGGGAATGTCCTTTGGGATTTCATCCAAATGCTTTGAGCTGCACAGCACAGCCATGGCTCCTGAGTGGTCTGTGCACTGGCAGGGCTGGGGGCAGGAGGTCCACACAGGAGGGATGCACAGGAGGAGGCAGAAGAAAACGCGGGTGGAGGACAGCTGTGCCAGTGAGGTTGCCGGGTGTGCCAGGAACATTCTGATCATCGTCTCAACGGGGCACACTTCTGCATGGCTGCCGGGGAAATGTTAGTCTTTGCCAGCCAACCTCTCCAGGTGTGCAACGAGACTAGCTGGAGGCAAGTCACGTACTCTCTTTTCTCGTCTTTCAAAGTGCGCTCTTTTGTTTCTGACAGCAAAAAGAGGGAAGGGAAATTGACATTATTTTTCTTGACACTATGAAATACTTAGATCTCTCGGTGTGTGATCTACATTAGCAAAGCAAGTGCTGGGTTAATCTGCTAATTCTGTGCACCAGCTCCTAACAAGGTCGTCTACCATCATCTCAGATAGGGTCAATACAGATGAAAGTTATTTCTCTGCATTTTTCAGATTTTTAAATGAAAGGGTCAGTTCTTGAGGGCCAGGGTGTGACACAGATACACACTGACACAGGGAAGTAATTCCCCACTCCATGCACCTCTGTGGAGACTTCCCGGCCCTGGGGACCAGGTGCACAGGAGCAGGGATGTTGCCGCTGAGTAGTGAATGGGATGGGCGGAGCCCCAACACAGAGCTGATATTGCACGAGGAATGTTATAATCTGTTGCTGGGACAGTCTTGCCAACCTCAAGCATTAAAAAAAATCGTGAACCAAACCATCCAAATTTGTGAGATTGGCTTACAAATCATGAGATTGTAACAAATAATCAAAGCAGGGTTGTTTTCATTTGCCCTCTAGTGTGTGAGCCTTTAGAGGTCACGATTTCAAGCTTTTCTTTGCAACCAGGACAATTAGAAAGTTACTTTTAAAAAATGAAAGCCGAGATTATGATGGGATAACATGACTCCAGGGGTTGGAGCTTTAAGAAAAAACACTAAATATCACCTAGGATTGAGAGAGATGGCAACACTGAAATTAACACACACACACGCACATATATATATCTACATGCCTGTTCTCCAAACAAATGGTGATTTCATCAGTACGGGAGTTGGGGATGGGAGTTAACACTAATTTGAAAACAAAATAAAGCCTAATATTAGGAAAGATGAGGACAAACTGGAGAGAGTCCTGAGGAGAGCAACAAAAATGATAAATGATTTAGAAAACCTGCCCTGAGAGGAAAGGCAAAAAACCTGGGCATGGTTAGTCTTGAGAAAAAGAGACTGAGGGGGGACCTGAGACCATCTTCAAATCTGTGAAGGGCTGTTACAGAGAGGATGGTGATGTATAAGAGGCCAGGGGAGGCTGAGCCTCCCCACAAAAGGCCAGCGATGCAGGGGGGAGAAATGCCGCAGATGTGGCGCAGGTCACCCCTCCAGAGGTGCACTGGCCCGCTGCCACCTTTGGGCACCAGAAGCAAAGCCCCATAGAATTGGGGAGCCCCGCCCACATTCTGCTCCATCTCTTCCCCTGATTCCTTGCTCTCACTCTGCCTCTTCCCACCCCCCCCTTGGCCTTTTCCCCTGAGGCCCAGCCCTCTTCCTGTCCCTGCTTCCCTGAGGACCCCCCACCCTCCGCTCACCTAAGGCAGAAAAAAGTGATGGCCCCATGGCCCCTTGGTGGCCCACCCTTCTGGGAAGGGGGTGGAGAGGAACAAGCAGCGGGTGAGGGGAGTCTTGGGGAAGAATAAGAGAGGAGCAAGGGGCTGGTGGGGGGTCTTGTGGGAAGAGGCAGAGAGGAGTGAGCAGTGGGCTGGCGGAGCCTCGGGGTAGCGGGGGTAAGAGCCAGTGCGAGGGCAGGGCCTCGGGGGAAGAGAATGACTGGGCACGGGGCCTCAGTGGCAGGGCCACGGTCCAGGCACAGGAGACCCCCCTTCTAGGGAGCTTCTGGCACTTGTGTGTGAGCCGCCCCAAACAGAAGACTCACGCGCCACCTATGACAGTGATCAATGGTTCCATGTCCATTGAGGGTAGAACAAGAAGTAAGGGGTTTAACTGCAGCAAGTGAGGTTTAGGTTAGAGATTAGGAAAAGCTGTCTAACTCTCCGGGTAGTTAACTCTGGAACAGGCTTCCAAACAGAGGTTGTGGAATTCCTGTCACTGGAGGTTGCTAAGAACAGGTTGGACAAACACCTGCCAGGGCTGGTCTAGGTTTACTTGGTCCTGCCTCAGCGCAGGGGGCTTTGAGTGAGTTGGATTAATACAGTAATTAGAAGGATTAGCTGCCCCAGGCTATGGGCACCCCGACACAAATTACAAGAACAAACAACAGCTTCAGCCCAGATCCAGCAAAGCTCAACCACAGCAACTCCCCAGCCTGTCCTGCCCAGCCTGGATCTAACCCCACACTTTCTGCAGCAGCCCCCGCACATAATGCAGTGTGTGCAGACTGGCGGAGGAGCTTATTCCAGCGCTGCAAGGCCCTCATGGAATTCCTCTGTTGACCCCAGATCTGGTCATCCTGGCATGGCAAGAGGGGCGGGGTCTCCACTCAGCAGGTCCCAAAGCATTTAGGCCCCAATTCAGCCAAGCACTTAAGCATGTGCTTAAATACTTTCCTAAATAGGGATGGATTAAGCACATGCTTGAAGTTAAAGTATTATGCTGAATCAAGGTCTTCTGGCTTTATAGGTCAAAGCCAACTCCTTCAATTCAATCCAGAAGCCATTTCTATGAATGGGGTTGCACAGGTGTAAGATCGGTGCAGAATTTAGCCTGATAAATCCATATTAAACTGGCTTTCAAAAACTGAAGCTAGGCACTGAGCTGAAAGTTTGATTGTCTAGAGGGGTCGTGGCCATGCCAAGCAACAGAGAACAATGATTGCGCCCAGCTTCATTTCACTAGGAAGCACAATTTTACTACCAGCCTGTCTGCATCTTCCTCGGCTGCCTGGCAATGTTTGGAGCGAGATTTCTTTCGTTACAGCGAATGCCAGTGCGGCATGGCACAGCGTCCAGTCCGACCCATCTGCAATATGCTCAGTCACCTAGGCTGGGCAGGGTACTTCGTAGATAATAACTAGTGAGAGGGCATATTTCCTAACAGCCCGCTTTCCTCTCCCTGACTACAACCCTGCTGCTTCGGTGGGGTGGGAGATCACTAGAAACTGACCTGCTAACGGCACTACTTGTTTGCTAAATCAGCAATGAAAAGGCACCTTACCTGAGTTGAGGTAAAACCATTTGGCTGCCGTTCAGGTTTTGTTATTCTCCTCCTTCAGCTGCCAAACGTGTAGCCAGTGCTGTCCCTCCAGCCCGGTATGCCTGAGTCTGGGTGAGATCCAGCAGGGCTAGCGGGGTTTAAACCCCATCCACCACTTGTTGCTGTCTGTTCAGTCCTCATGTCTCCATCTCTGTGGTGCTTTCCTTCGCCTCGGCATACACACAAGCCACACACCATGCAGATGGGCTGTAATTGGACAGCATCTGCCTGTCACTGACATCCTCGCTGCGCATCCTTGGATTTTTTAAAGGGACAGCCTAGTAATAACTCAACCACATAAACAACCTCAATCTCTTCCCCAGATGACCCTGTATCATGCTGGCAGGTGCGTATGTCGCAGTAGGTTCTGGGCATGATTACCAGGCAATTGGTAATAGATGGGAAGAGGTGGAGTAGCAGCTCTCTCACGAGTGCTTTCAAATTCCCTCCAAATTTCTGCCTTTCAGCGCAGTGTTGTCTCCTGCTGATAGGAGGGTTTTAAACTGCTCCCAAGAGACTGGATCTTACCAGCCACTGGCGTTGGCTGTGGCTCCCCTTGTCCCAGGGATGGGCCAGCCCTTCCTGCTGGAGTCGCAGTGGCTGGCTGCGTTGGGTTCTGTCCTGAGGGGTGAGCAGGCGAGTCCGGCCCTGAAATGAATCCAGCAGCGACACAGAAGGGCGACGCTCGCTCCATGTGCGGTGAGAGTTGGGGCAGGGTTGTGGCGCCAACCCTGGCTGGCACTCAGGAGATCTGGGGTCTAGTCTCAGCCCCACCATCACTTCTGGGGGTGAGTCATGGACTGTCTGTGGGTGGAACGTCCTCCCCTTGGCCCCCCCAAAAGGAGAGCTCCCAAAGTGCCATGCTGGCTGGGCGCGGTTAGCTCTCTCCTGCATCTGACCCCGGGCGCCCCCCGCCTAATGTGCCCTGCAGACTGAGCCCTCAGCTCGCCTGCAGTGCTTCCCTGGGGAAACCTGTGCTGTGACTGCCCCATCCTGTGGCTGCATACAGGGTGTCTCCCCGTTCCCCTGCTCCTAAGCAACCAACTCCAGGCTCTGTGGGGCAGGGGCTGTCTCTCAGGGGCTCTGATCTTGGGTGGAGCCTCAAGGTGCTGCCCTACTGGATAATCACATTGTTTTCTGGGCCTCCCATTAGCCCTGACCCACTAGCAGCCACACAGGGAGCAGAGGCCAGGGAGACGTCTCTGCCCCAACAGCCCAGTAGATTGCACAAGGGAAACCATTCTGTCGACAGCAGGGTGATCCATGCTGCCTCTGCCCTGCCTCTTCCTGCCCAGGCTAGCCACTTTGCACCTGTGCCAATGGCGCAGCCTTCGCCAAGGGAAGTGTGGCCCAGGAAGGGTTGTGGCCACGCTGGGGCCGGTCCTCGAGCTGTCACCCAGCTGCTCAGGAGCCATGGCAAAGCGGATGGGCTCTGCCCTGGTACTGACAGGCTCCCAGCTGGCCATTGCACGGCACTGCCTCACTAGCCCAGCATGTTCCAAAGCCCTTGTGCTCTCCCTGCTGAGGCCAGGCTCACTTGGGGCAAACTCAGCCCCCCCCCCAGCACGAGCCCTGCCGGAGGAGCATGCAGTGGAGGAGGCCAGGTCTTGGGGATGCACAGCCAGACCATCCCCTGCAAGCAGGGGCCCTGGCCTGCCAGCAGCTCCGTGGCTTTCACAGAGGGTAGGGTTACCACTCGTCTGGATTCCCCCGGACATGTCCGGCTTTTTGAGCTAAAAATAGCGTCCGGGGGGAATTTGTAAATGTCCGGACCTCCCCCCCATGCAGAGCGCGCGCGGCTAACAGGGCAGCCGACTGGATGGTGCCACTTACATGGGGCTCCGACAGCCAGAGAGAGCCCCTCCTCCGCTTCCCCTGCAGCAGAGATCACTCCCTCC